GTSCGACTGACCTGACCTCCTGAGGCCYGCCTGAGGTGGATGCCAACCCCCCTGTGGGCCCTCACCCGCCACAGAGGCTGTGACAAGGCCCTGCTGCAGCCCAGCCACCCCACAGATAAGAGGCTGCTGCTGAGAGCAGGGCCCAGCACATCAGCCTCCTGCCTTCTCACTGGGACCAGTTTGACGGACAAAATGAAAACAGGGCATTTGTCCACCAGGCGTCACAGCTGGCCAGGATGGGAGTCACCCCACCCAGACGGTACCTGGGGCCGGAACTCGGAGTGCTGGGTTTGGCGCTTCACGGGGGCTGCAGCCCTCGGTTCTCACTTCCAGTGGTCCCAGGTCTGCTCCTGCAGGTGGGGATCCTGAGGTGAGGCAGAAGGAAGTGGGGGGCAAACCTGGGGCTCCAGGGTTAGTGTCCTGCTCCAGTGACCACCTACAGGTTCCGCCACCCCCCAGGGCGGCACTGGGACCGGCCCCTGCTCCTGCAGGGGAGGGGAACTGAGGAAGCTCAACACCGAAATAGTCTTCTCCAAGTCCAGCCCCTGGAGCACCTGCAAGTGGCCTCTTGCTGTCTCTTCCTTCCTTGGCTCCTGTCCTCTCTTCAACTCTCTCTCCTTCCTCGTTGAGCAGTTGGAGTTCCGCGAGGAACAGGTCCCCACTGTCTGGCGGCTCAGACCTCCATTGCTCAGCTTGTCCYGCCGTGGCTTGTCACAGGGGCAAGGAGGGCCGTGGGGATGAGACGCTTTGCAATGCGCCACTTTGTCTGAGGCTTTTCTGCCTGGAGCAGACCCTACACTCCACAGTGTAGGAACCACGTCTYGGCCTTGGAAGTCCCGCTTCCTGCTCCACCCTCGGGCCCTCGAGCTTCAGTTGGAGAGCCCTCCCTGAGTGTGAGTCCCTCTCCGTGGGCCCCACTGGGGCTTCCTGTCTGCTCCTCTGGTCCTTTTGGAGAAAGCCTGCCTGGCCTGCAGGAGAGAAGGACCCGGAGAGGCCCTCTGACCACAGGGAGCCAGACAAACGGGGAGACTGGGTACACCCCCCAGGCAGGCCAGGGCCCCTCTGGTCTCTGTCCTTACTCTCCTCCCCACCCCTGGGCGCACAGCTTCTCCTGTGTCCAGGGCACCCGTGTGATGGGGTTCTGGCAGAAGTGATGCAGTCCACCTCTGCACTTCCACACAAAGGGCAGGAGGCAGGCTGGCACCCAGGCTCCTCCAGGAGAGCCCAGCAGCGTGGGAACTGGCCATGGCGGGCGTGGGGTAGAAGCCCTGTGTTGTCATGAGTCGTGGGTTGAATTGTGTCYCCCCAACGACGTTGGAGTCCTAGCYCCTGGAGCCTGTGACTGTGCCCTGACTTGCCAACAGGGCCTTGCAGACCGTCAGGTTAAGATGAGGTCACCAGGGTGGGTCTGATCCAGTGTGACGGCTCTCACAGTAAGGAAAGCTGGGCAGAGACACAGGACGGATGTGAAGGGGAAGGTGCAAACTGAGGACAGACAAGGACCAGCCAAGGAGCACCAAAGACTGCCAGAAAGTCACCAGAGGGGAGAGGGCCTGGRACAGTCCCCCCCGGGCTCAGTAGGGACCAGCCCTGCTGCCCAGGATGGCAGACTCCAGCGGCCAGGATTGGAGGCAATGAACACCTGTGGTTTATGATGCCCAGTGTGTGACACTCTGTGAYAGCCCCCTGGGGACCTTGCACTCTAGGCTGCTGGGATGGCAGCAGTGATTCCTGTGGCTGCTATCACTTAGCAAAAGATCCTGAGATGGAAGGGACCCAGGTAAGAGATGCTGCCCAGCATTCTCTGCAGACAGGCCTGGCCCCTACCAAGCTGTGGGCAATAGGACGAGGCGGGAAGCCCTGGGGCACTGCAGGAGGTCAGCCTACCGGGACGATGGCAGCACAGAAGCTCCCACCTGTCCCGACCCTGGCCCCCATCCAGACTGGAGCCTTTGGATGAGCCCTGCCAGCCACACATGCACCGGCGACCGCCCAGGCCCACAGCCTCTGAGCATCACTCAGGAGGTAAGCCTATTAGCCTCCAGTGGCGTGAGCCACGGCTGTTCTGGGTCTCCTGGTGACACTGCCAAGTGCAATGCTCAGTGCCAGAGAGGTGTYTGCATCTTATGAGAAGCCTTCTTGCAGCCGCACTGTGCCATCCTGCAGGAGGAAGGGGAGGGTGGGGCTCAGCTACTGCACAAGGTGGGAAGAGCGGGTGCTGGGGTRTCTTCCTGGCCCTAAACCGCAGAGTCTGACGCCATGGAGACTGAGCCCCTGTTCTCCTCCTGAGGGAGGTGCTGCCACCAGGGCAGCCACACCTGATCACTCTGGGCTGATCCTTAGGAGCCTGAATTTGCCCCGGCACGGAGGAGGCCAAGGGCAGCAGGAAGGCACCGCAGAGCTGGCAACAGGCTTCAGGAGACAAGTGCAGGGTGGCCGTGGGCCTGGGCCTGCCCCCCACTTGTGCTCAGAGGGCTCTGCACACCGCAGTGTGGCATCCTTGCCGCCAGGGCTTTGCTCATCAGGGCTTTGCTGAGACAGAGYCCAGCTGTGCCACTGTTTGGAGGGAATTCTTCTTTCTCTTCTGTCTGTGAAGCCGAGAGGAACSAAGGCTGGCGTGTCCCACCAACCTTGTCTGTGCGCACAGTGCTTCTTACTTCTCATCCCACCAGGTCCTTTCTCTGCCTCCGAGAGTCACARTCGTAAAAGTGACAGCTCAACTGCCTACAGTCACTGCTCCGTGAAGATGTCTCTCTGTTTATGGAGTGCCACTGTGGAACTCCGCTGAGAGCCAGGCTCTCCTCTGAGGGTACTGGTTGGATCGACTGGTTCATGCAGCCYGGCAGCCCAACAAGTAAAAAGGAGCCATTGTTTGGTTTCCCAGTTAATAAAATGTACAAGGATTTCAAGAGCATTCCTATACTGCCCTCGCTGGGCAGCTGGCCAGTTTTTACATGAACCCCCTTCCAGAGCACCGCACCCCACCCTGCACATCTGACTTTACTTATATAAATGAAATAGATAAAAGCTTCTCCGGGAGGGCAGCACCTATCCCAGGCACAGGTCGGCTTCACTGTCATCCACACCTGGCCTTGGACACTAGGCTGGCTTGACCCCAGGGCCACTCCTCACAGACTCTCCCTGGGCTTCAGGACTCCTGAAGGAGTCATCACGGCTGGCTGGAAAGTGSCTCAAAAGTCACAATACCGCCTCAAAAAGTAGGGGCTATGGCAACCCTTGACCTGYGTAGATTAACAGGAGGACCCCCACCCCTGAAAGAGGCAGGTAAAAGCATCTCAGTGAGCGGCCCTGGTAGGAGGAGCCATGCCATAKGYTCCCAAGCCTAGAGAGCGTGGGTGYCTTGCACCAGGCCACAGGTTGTAGAAGGGACATTTAAAGTGGACATGATTAATGGGCCACAGGGGGTTACARATCAGTTCATAGGGTCCTGTGTCCTCCCTGGTCCCAGGGTAGCATCCCGCAAAGCTAGGAAAGTGCAAGGTAGGTATGTTGGGGTACCCACCCACCCTGCTCAAATCTCACCAGACCATCAGTTGTTAAGAAAGGAAAAGACCCACAGAATGTCAGGAAACGACTCACTGACCCTTAACAGATATTTAAAATGCACGGCACACATGTTCTTACCGAGACAAGATGCACAGTGGGCGCTGTGGACGACGATTGGAKTTTTAAAGTGAAAATCACAGCTAGATCTACAAGAGCACTGTCACAGGGGCGTGTCTGGTGGAGCCACAGAAGACAGGTTTTGGGGTGCAGCTGYAGCCCCACTCTGCAGCCAGCCTCCGGGAGGGCTCCCCTGGCTCTGCCTTGCACCACCAGCGGGAGAAGGTGGGCTGGGTGGGGAAGCCCAGAAAATCCCCCTGGAGTCCTTCCGGGGACATCGACCCCTTAGAGGTGTGTCCCAGATCCCCAAAGCTCCCAGGCCCCCCGAGCGTCCTCCAGAAGGCTAGAGGAAAGGCCTGGAAGCAGGTGCACCTTCACCCCAAGCCCACGCCCTCTGGGCTGAGAAAGGCCTTGCAGCRCCTTCTCCCACTTGCTCCCTTCCACCCTGATGCCCCTTTTGACTTTCTGCCTCATCTAAATGGCCTCATAACCTACCAATYGATTTCCAGGATTATCATCATGGACGCTTGGATTTCTCAAGGTTCTTTACTGACTTGGCAGGTTGTCACCCTCTCTGAGATGGCTTTCTAAGTGCTGTCTCTTTACCCACATCTCTTTTACTCACTTTTGGATGTTTTAACCAGAGACTGGCTATGGGCCTGACTTTCTGCTGGGTACTGTCTGTGGGCTTCTTGGGAAGGACCGAGGTGGGGACAAAGGCAGGGCCTTCTTGGGGTCAGGAAAAGTGGGGTCAAGAGCAGGACAGGGCCRGTTTCCTCTACTGCCGGGAGCTCCTCACAGACCCTGGAAGCTCCATGAATTGGCAGAGACACCCTGCCTGGTGGCACTCCTGACGCTCCTCTGAGTCCTCTCCACGGACCTGGACCTTGGCCTCTGCCCTGCCAGTAGCCGGCACCGCCCAGTTTTAGCAAGTGCCCTGCCGAGTCAGTTCAGCCTGAGCCTCATGCCCCTGAGGTCCGATCACCCTTTGCCACCTGAGGTCTCAGTCCTTGGCCCATCCTCAGCAAGAGCCCCACAAGGACAGGCTGGCCTCCAGGCACCCACAAGCCTGGTCCAGGGCAGGGCCTCGGGGGAGGATAGTCAGAAGTCCCTGGAGGCTGGCTGTTCCAATCCAYGCAGCCTTGGCCTCCCTCCTGACTCTCTCAGACCTCCAGGCCCAGACCTCCTAGGGCACTGAGGCGCCCACGGCTGGGCCGGGCCAACTCCACCTTCATCATATTGGATCAGCAAGGTCTGTTCTGAACTCCGGGACCTGGCTGGGCTGTCTCTGGTGAGGACCCTGGGGGCTGGACTCTCCGACTTTCTGGCTTCCTTTCTGCAGAATCTCARGGAGACGTTAAGACACAGGCACTTACTTTTCCTGTCTGTAGCGTTGTGCACGGTCACAGTGGGCACTCCAGGACCTGCATGGGGAAGGGCGAGGAGCCAGAGAGAGACAGAACAGAAATCATTAGTTCAGCTGAGCACGGGGAGCAAGCAGACGTTCCCTACTATGTGCAGACTGTGGAGTCTGGGGAGCCCAGCTCCGCGCGACAGTGGCCGYAGAAGGCCCATGTGGCTCTACTGAAGGTTTTCAATTTATGGTGGTGCAGAGCCACAAGCATGCGGCAGGAGTTACGCTTTGAATCTGGATCTCTTCCAGTGCTGCAGTGTGCCTCCTGGTCCTCCCTCGAGATGCTGGGAGGTGGCACGGAGCCAGAGCCCCCTCATTGCCCCTGTGGTCACGAGGGGCGATGACGGAGAGTCTGCAGAGTACGGAGGTGCTGGGCTAGGATGGGTGCTAGGTGAGGGGTAGTCGATGAATTCTGCACTTTTAAGATTTTTAAGTTAGGATTAGTTCACAGGGACRTGATCTCATTGTGCATCCAGGCGCATCTGTGTGAATGTTTAGATTGTTGTAATGACATTTCATGCAGCATCTTGTCGGGTTTTTGTACGTGTGACCTCATTCATGCTATCCAGGCCCAGAGCGCTGTGGTGGCTTCCTGGAGACCCTTCTGAAGAAGGTGTCTTTCTCTGCTGGACCCCGGAGGCAGCTGCTCCAGGCCCTGGGCCCCTCGAGCACTGTGCACGGAGGTGCTGGGTGCAGGCTGCAGGGACAGTGTCACGCCTCGATGGCCCCTTGATCCCTTTCGTTTGCAGCTTCCCAGCTCCAGGTCTGTCGCACTCTTGGGGGAAAGGCCAGTTCAGGACATGGTGGCCCCTGGGCACCTTCCTCTGCAGGTGATTTCTGTATTCTCTTCAGCAAGGGAGAGTCCAGAGAAAAAGAGGCAGGTCTGAAGTTTTGTCACACACAGACGGCTGGCCAGGTGCCCTTTCTGACCCTCTCTGCCACTCTCCTCCGCCCTTTCCTCCCCTTGCAGGGCCAGCTATGCCCGCTGGTCCCCATGGGGCTGACTGTCCTGTGGCCTGACGTGCCCSGTCCCCCACACTGGCACAGCCTGTCAGTCTCTGATCTAGAGCCCTCTCTGACACCCCGACCAGAGYGGCAGCCAGGACGTGGCCAGCCCCGGCCCTGGCTCACTCCCCTTCCCTTCCTGGAGCTTGATGCCACACGCTGTCACAGGGTAGCCTAGAAGTCTGACTGTAGCACTGCCGTTCACCGCCCTTCCCCCTGACCGTGCCAGGACCCGGGCTCCACCGCTGTCAGGGACTCGTCCTGTTCACTGCTGTGACTTTCAGCCTCCTGGAAGGTGGCTGGATGATGCTGAGCGGGCCACACAGAGCACACGGGAGGCAGGGAAGGCTGCCCCCTGGTTGGGGAGGGAGGGGGGCTGAGTGCAGGATGACACTGAGCTGTGTGGGCCCCATGGCCAGGCGGCTGCCTGTGTGTGGCTTCAGGCTGGGGCTCTGGGTGCTTGGAGCTCCCGGGGGCTCAGCAGAACTGCAGAACACGTGATTTTGGGTAGAGAATCGGCTGGAGTTCTGGGAGCCCCCCAACACTTCTAAGGCCACACGCCGGAGCTAAGAGCCATGGGTCCGCTGTGGCCTCTGTGACTTAGAGGCCTCCTGCAGAGGCTAAGAGTGGACCTCTGAGTCCAGACCTGGAGAGGACACTATGGACAGGCAAGGTGGGGTAGGTCAGGCTGGGGCACACTGAGGGGCAGGTCCCAGCTGCTGAGAGACGTGGACTGTGGCCATACCRGCTCTGGACATCATAGCAGATGCCTGACTGCCCAGGAACCGGACACAGACCCCATTCAGTGCACTTCAGAGTCCAGGGGGTCAGGGGCCTTTCCCTACACTGGGCCCCTCCCCATTCACCCAGCAGCAGGGTGGCCCGATAAAATGCAGGGTGCCTGACTACACATGGCTCTCTGGTAAACAACACATATTTTCTTTGTATTAATATGTCCTTGCAGCATTTAGGACATATTTCTAAAAATATTTGTTGTTTATCTAAAATCCCAAAGTAACTGGGCAT